CCCTTTAAAGGACAACTGTTATGATTTTGCACCTTTGAAATACCAGTCTCGCGTTATTACAGAACGCTTGGCACCTCGTTACCTTACAATTACAACGTTCTATCTGACATTTTGGGCCAATTTTGAGTCACTTATAAGACCTTGCCTTGAGGTCAGAAACCAAATGTTCTATCTGTTCTGTCAAAATGGAAAGATTATTCGTTGTAGTTGTCAAGATATTCAAAGAAGTGAATTCGAAAAAATCTTGGCTTGTTGTAAAACTCAAAATGATTTACGTTTAATTTCTCAAAACTAGGTAGAGAGCAGATAAAACTTTCTTATTCTTGGCAGAGCCCCCCCCCCCTTCCCCCCTTGTTTTTGTGAGCCTTCCTTTTAATTTCGCTCTTATCGTGCGTCGCACTGGGAACCGGAAATACTTCCAATCTAAAATAGTGTGGTATAAATCTATGTGTTTGTGTTTTCGTCACGGCACATTGTTTGACCAGAGACCAGATTCGAGCTGCAGCTCTGTTTGTGTGTCAAGTTAACGCCCTTCTTGACATTATTTTGGCCGTTTTTAAAGTTGTGTACTTGGGCTCGTGGTCAGAGGATAGAAGGGGCATGTGAAAAGGGTTTTAAAAACTAGTCAGTTTTCTCGAAAAAATCAATTGTTTATATCTAGATTTAGATCTTTTTGTTAACAAAAAGTGTAGTCACATATTATCATACTAGATTTATAATTTTGAGGCTTGATGACGAAATCAGGCGCTTGTCAAAATAATAAAATCAAAGAAACTGGCATTTTTCTGTCGATTTGACAATTTTTATCTAATTTTTGCTTTTTGACTCAACACCTTTACTGTTCGTTTGAAAACACATTTCTGTGTGGATTTTACTGAAAAATATTGATTTAAGGCACAAAAATATAAATTTGCAGTTTCTAATTATAAGGACTCTCAGGCTTTGGAAGTCTGTTTAATGGGATGTTGTATCCCTCTCAGCACGGGTCTGTCTACTGGGATGTTGTATCCCTCTCAGCCGGGGTCTGTCTACTGGGATGGTGTATCCCTCTCAGCCCGGGTCTGTCTGCTGGGATGTTGTATCCCTCTCAGCCCGGGTCTGTCTACTGGGATGTTGTATCCCTCTCAGCCCGGGTCTGTCTACTGGGATGTTGTATCCCTCTCAGCACAGGCAAAGTGTCGAGTGTGCACCTCCTAAATGATTTGAATAGTGTCAGTTGGGGTGTAAAACACCTGAATTTACAATAACAAAATGTGAAGCAGCGTAGTGGAATCGGGCTCTCGTCAAAATAATGAAATCGAAGAAAACAGCACTTTTCTCCCTGCTTAGCAATTTTTATCAAATTTTTGGTTTTTTGCTCAACATCTTTTATGTCCATTTAAAAACACATTCCTTTGCGGATTTCACCGAAAACGCTGATTAAAGGCACAAAAATATAAATTTACAGTTTCCATGGACTCTCCAGCTTTGGAATTTACCAAGCTTTGGCGGCCATTTTCTCGCTAATTTTACCTCTTAAACCAGGTGACCCCCACCTCCTTCAATCCAAAATATCTCCACTTCTATTGAAGATGGATGGGACATTTTTTCATTGAAAGCAAGACAAATGAACAAGCTTTAAGATGATACCAATAATTCAATATGCCCAAAAATTGACGAGAGCCTGATTCCACCGCGCTGCCTCACAAATGGTCAACTCTAGTTTGTTTACTTTCTTGCGTGCCCACGTTTGCACGGCGCTCTGTTACAGGACTATTTTTTTGCCTGAAAAAAAAGCGTATTTCTTACTGATGTCCCCCCATAAAAAAGATAGAAAAAATGAAAAAAATTCATCACCATCATCATTAAAGTTAGATCTAGATCTGATCAGACAAGCATCGGCGATCATGGTTCTTCATTCATGTATTTGATCGAATGCTCTCAAACAAGCTACATCATCCTGATCCGTTCTTGTCACCCATTTCTTTCGGTTCTCCAAGCAGGTTGCACTATCAAAATTGAAAAGACTCTAGTTAGTATTTAGAAAAAAAGAATATGGTGGGAAGGTGGGGGGAATTCCACACCCCCAATCACAGCCCTTAGAACCAACAGAAATCTGTTTGACATTCAGCTTTAATCATTTGCTTCTCTCTGCCATGTTTTATTTTTCAATACAGCTTTAATTTCTTGAATGTCTGTCTTTATATTTTTATTTGGCATGTGTGCTTATGTGGGTAGGAAATTGCCCCGCACTATTAAATTTTTAATTAAATTTAAAAATAGAAGTTATGGGGGTTGTGCTATCGTAGATTTCAAAGTATGTTTTGTTTCCTAACTTATCAGACCCAAAGTAAAACTGATGTGGAGGATGTGTCCTCTTTCTACATAAAATAGCAAATTCAAATGACTTATAAAAAGGCCAAATTACACTTAAGAAATCCAAATATGCAAATGACGTCATAAAAAGTATTGATATGACAATAAATAACAAGTTTAAATGTAAATATTGAAATTTATACCATACTTGAAGCTGTTTTAGCATTGCACTTCCGGTAAAATATATCCTTATATTTCACACGTGAAATATAAGCTGATATCTCACACGTGAAATATAAAAATTTGCATAAATTACTCCGCGCACTAGATCTATATTCACCTTCTAGGCTTCTACTTCTATCCCTCTGTGTAGGCTAAGCAAAGTAGCCTAGATCTAGATCTAGATTAGATCTAGATATCTAGATC